CTTGGTATTATCAATGTATTTTAGTCAAACCAGTCTCTTCCTGTCGTTTTGAAACAATGTAAAACGCAAGCACTGTAAAAAGGGAAACTGTGCAGATGTTAGTTAAAGGCCTATAGCTCACTTAAAATTAAAATTCTGTTATCATTTAGCCTGCTCACCCTCAAATTGTTTTAAAACTGTATGAATTTATTTCTTCTTCTGAAAGGAAGATTATACCAGACAGTTGATGGACCCTACTTCCATAGGGGAAAAAAATACTATGGAAGTCAATGGGGTCCATCAACTGTTTACCGACATTCTTCAAAATATCTTCGTTTGTGTTAAGCAGAATAAAGAAACTCATACAGGTTTATAGCAACTTGAGGGTTAGTAAACTACAAAAGATTTTTTTTTTAGGCTACTATCCCTTTAATAGCTAACACACAAAACAAACAATACACATTGATAAAATAACGCGAATTTTACAGAACGTCCTTAATTAATTTAATTGTATTTATTTATTTGTAGATATCATTTAATAGATTACACTTTCTTGAAAACATTTGAATTTTTTTTTTTTTTTTTAGTTTTCATGCACTTAACTGTCTTGACCAGCAGGTGTCGACAGCCAGTGACTTCAATTTATTCAAAGTTTCGAAACGCTTTTCATTTTCAGAAGGTGACCAAAACTCAAATGAATACATTTTGTTTGATTTAATTTAATAATTTAATTTAATTAATTTAATTTGATAAAATAATATTTTAAATGATTCATCAGTAGTGTGCATCTATGTGCATCTCTTTCATTCATTCATTCATTCATTCATTCATTCATTCATTCATTCATTGTATTTACTTGTAATTTTCCAGCAGTATTTAACATCCTAAAAAATAAGTATATAGGCCTATATACACTGTAAAAAATCATATGATCAATATGTTTTGAACATATGTTTTTAACGTTGCTTTTACTCCCCCAAAATAAGTTAAGCAATTTAAAAAAATCAGCAAAAAGTTACACAAAATTCAACTATTTTTTATTAAATCAGTTTAATGTAATTTAAGTTGAACTTAAACATCCAAGTTTATTGTACTTAAAATTTTAAGGCAGCAACTTTTTTACTATAGCCTATATTATAAATAGAGTGATATTTTTAGAATATATATTTTATAGATAGATATACTGTATCTGTATAGATTATACATTAATATATTATATACAGATTATATTTAAGATAAAAAAATCAATAATATGCTATATGCCTAAAGCTCTTCCATTTTACAACAAAAATCAGTCATATCTATTACATAACTGTTTAATTATAGAGAAGTCTTCTTAACTTGACTGTTGTTCTTCATAGAAATTAAAGAATCATAAAAAAATCAGTCAGTGGAAACCTAATATTTGGTAAACTGATATATATTTTACTCTATGTATGTGATATCTTTTCCAAATAGTATAAGCATTTTTATTGTTTAACTCTATGTAGAAATGTGTTCTGCTTTACTTCAGGGACAAAAAAAAAAGACAAATCACTGGTCCAATTCATGATGTTGGAATGTTGTGGGCGAGGGTGTTGCAGTTGCTAAGACATTTTTCAGCATATATACTGCTAAGTGGATACTAGTTAGCGATGTGGCAGGCACGACTAATTTATAAAGCTTGGCCGATATGAATATACGTCAATGTCAGCTAATAAAAAATGTATACCGCTATGTGTGATTTCTGGTGTTTCAATACTACCATTTGTTGTGCACCTTGAGTTAATTAATAGATATTGAACACACAAAGTCCGCTTAACTCACACACATTGGTATGCTGTGCTGTAACGAATTGCTCAACTTCCCTGATAAGAACTTCTCCTGCCCATGGGCTCGGCCAGAGCCTATAAATTCTTGAGACAGAAATCTAGCACTTCTCAAATTCTTCAGTCAGACACCCAAACGGTAAGCTCCGCATTATGTGCGTTTAACTGCATTGTCAAGATCAGTTGTGTTAATATTAGATTCATATCACCCTTCTATAGTGCTGGACCCGAGCAGTTCGCAGCCATGCCTTCCCAACTAGAGACTGCCATGGAATCCCTCATCATGGTATTCCACCGGTACGCTGGAAAAGAGGGCAGGAGCGGCACCCTGACCCGCCGTGAGCTCAGACTCCTGATGGAGAACGAGCTCTCTGGGTTTCTCAAGGTGAAGATCTTCTGTCATTCGCTTTCACAAACTTTATTTTCTATAGGAAATGCAGACCATTTCACTCTCTTTTCTTTTCCTACAGTCTCAGAAGGATCCAACCACCATAGACCGAATCATGAAGGACTTGGATGCCAATAGGGACGGAGAGGTGAACTTTGAGGAGTTTGTGTCTTTGGTTGTGGGTTTGTCTATCGCCTGTGAGGCCTGCTACAGAGAGCAGTTAACAAACACACAGAGCTGGAACCTATGAGTTTGTGTTTATGCGTGTATGTATGTATCCAATGAAAAACCATTAAAACTTTTGCTGCAAGGTTAAAGTACAGTGGGTGTGTATGACGGGACTTAACGCTCTTTGGCCTACAAACAGTATTCTTTGAGCTTTAAACTTGTCTGTGCTAAAAGCTAAATGTTTTTGTTTAAAATAAAGCTTTCTAAAGTCATCATGTGCTGAAGTTTATTATTATGTAGGCTGCTACACATACTGTACATCACTGTTTATTGTACTCTCTGTCTTAACCTCATTGTCACAATACTCTTAAAGGGATACTCCACTTTTTTGGAAATTGGTTCATTTTACCTCTCCCCCAGAGTTAAACAGTTTAGTTTTTCCGTTTTCGAATGTATTCAGCCGTTTTTTTTTGTTTGTTTGTTTTTTTTTTATATTTAGAAGAATATCAGTAACCAGACAGTTTCTAGTCTCATTGACTTCCATATATTTTTTTCCTACTATAGAAATCAATGAGACCAGAAACTGTCTGGTTACTGATATTCTTCTAAATATAGAAAAACAAAAACAAAACAAAAACGGCTGCATACATTCGACAACGGAAAAGCTAAACTGTTTAACTCTGGGGGAGTGGTAAAATGAGCCTATTTCCAAAAAAGTGGAGTATCCCTTTAAGGTGTGTCCAGCGTTGTATCAAACCCACTGTTAATGGTTAATGCGAACACAAGGCTGCTTAGTTGTAAAGAAAGTTATGGAAGTTAAAACTCACGCACCCATTGCTAGCCTAGCTTAGCACAAAGACTGGATGTTAATGGATACAGCTAGCAATATAATCCCAAATAAGTGACAAAATGATGCAAACATTTTCCTATTTACATGTTGTGAGTTGTATGGTCACAGAGTGTACAAATAACTAGGTCATATGAGACACAGCCATCTTTTAACTGTATAGATATTGGGAAATATTCTCACTTAGAACAATATTATACTTAGGCGGAGTGATTAGCGGAGTGAGCACCTGAGATGCACCGTGGTGAGGAGCAGAGAGATCTTTCAGAGTAGGAGTAATAGGGTCACCAATTACTAGATAGTAAAAGCATAGTTTACGTATTGTAAAGATAATACCATGATGTTTCCTAGAATTCCAACCAATAACGCATCCTGGCTAATAAATATCACAGAACATAAATAAATAATTATTATTGCAGTAATCGATATATTTTAAATGTAATTTATTACAGTTGAACCAAATGTATTCAACAGCATATAATACAGTAGGCTAATGTTAGATAATTGCATTATAATAGGCTAGAATAAGGGGAAAGTAATAGCACAAGGCAAATGGTTTTTGCACAATGAACCCACAGTAGTAGCCTGGAGAAAGAAAAAAAATCTGATTCATTAGCAATAGTAGTGCTTTGCCTTCTGAGAAGATAGTTATAATATTTATATGGTTAAAAGATGGCTGTGTCTCATATGACCTTGTTATTTGTACAAACTCTGTCCGGGCTGTTGAGCACCTGACACCTCAGTCATGCGAGCCTCCAGCTCTTCCCTTCATCTTTGTGCTCTTTTGCAACCACGTTGGTGGCAACAATAATAATAATAAAGATAAATAACTGGGGTTAACCAAGACAAATATGTATAAGATCTTATTCTGCATTCTGGTTGTTCTCATTGCCATAATATTATACACTGGTTTACTTACACTGGGCTTTGCCAGTGTTGCTGAAATTCTGACAGTTAGCCACCTTGTTTGCAGCTAACCATCTTGTGAGCAAACACATTTCCTTCTCCAAATGGTCATGGTTTGTATGTTTTCTTTAATTCCACAAGAGGGCAGAAAAGACCTGTACAAGATCCAAACTACATCCATTGGCATACACCTTTCAGACATGTATAGAAAAAAATAATAGAATAAAGTGTTTATACTATTCGAACTGTGGTTACAAATAAAAGATGATGCTCTAACAAACAACTCAGTGGATGATTGTCATTGGATATTGTGGTTTTATCCAAATGTAGGTTATGTTTTTTTTTTCAAAATGGATGTAAGATCATACATAGGCTATTGTCATCTAAATTGTCAAAACACACCACTTATTCTTCTCACTAATATGACTGGGCATAAAGTACAAGGAACACTAGTGCTAGTTGTTTCACTTTAGTCCAGTAGGCTAAATGTCTAATTTGACAATATAATAAAGAGATAAATTTTGACAAATGTAAAAAATAAACAACATATAAAATATTAATGTTCTGGCCAAAAATATGACAACTTGCCCCAATATATAAAAAATATTCTAAAATCTGAAAAGACCTGAAACTTTAAGTTGACTCTTGTCAGAATGTCAATGTGGTTTTATTCAGCTGTAGCAACAACAAAAGAAATGTATAGAAATTGTATTTTGGCAACTTGCCCTGGTACTAATATTTTAGTTGGTATCATCATGTCACTTTTTACTTGCTAGCATGGTAAAAACATTGTAACCATCCTTCAGCTGTGCCTCATACTGTTAGCCTGTTACAGTATATCCTCTTACATAATTCACCAAAACAAACGGACAACCTCCAGAAGAGTCTCCGTCCTCTTCTAAACACACTGGACACAGTCTGTGAAAGTGAAAGAAGTCTTGTGATGGTTGGGCGGGTCACGCGTAATTCTGGCTTGTTGTTTTGAAGGCCTCCGAGAGGAGAGGGGGTGAAAAGCGAGTTAAAGATGGCGGAAAGCGAAGGAGATGAGACTGCTCGGCCCGCTCCTCCGTCACTGCTCCCCACAGCGCCCCGCGTTAACGGGTCGGGGATGCTCGGTTCTGGTAGCCAGACCCCGACCTTAGTGACTTCGGGTCCGCGCGTGGTTCGGATAATAAAGTCAGAATCTGGATACGGATTCAACGTCCGCGGTCAAGTGAGTGAAGGCGGCCAACTGCGGAGCATTAACGGGGAGCTGTACGCTCCTCTCCAGCATGTAAGCGCCGTGCTACCCGGGGGTGCGGCGGACCGGGCCGGTATCGTGAAAGGAGACAGAATACTAGAGGTGTAAGTCTTTTATTTTGCACATTACTTCTCATTTTAACCTTGGAATAAGCTTTGCTCTACTGTCAATCTGTCTGACACACAGTCACTGGTGGCTTTGCGTTATTTTTACACATTAGCATTGGACTTGTTTAAGCTTTCGTGGCCGTGCATGCCAATACATCCCTGCTAATGCAATAAACAGATCATTATTATGTAAGGCTTGAACAGGTAACACGCACTGGAAGTTCTCAAACGCAAAACGGTTGTTGAGCAACAGGGTCATCATCGGCGTGTATTCAAATTATTCGTGTGTGCTACTATATAGCCAGCGTATGTTTATGTGTCATAGAAATCCAGAAGAGTCGCTCATTCAGTGACTTGTTAATGCATGACAGTTTCATGATCACATGCTGTCAGTCATATTGATCTATTATCATCGATGCAGCTGATATATGTAGTTCTTGACAAGTTAGCATCCTAAATTGTGCTTGATCTGAGCGCTACAATTCTGGCCTGGGAGGTGCATATTATTGACCATTTTAAAAAGTGCTGTGGTCAACCGATAAGTGTTTTTAAAATGGCTAATACCTATTATTCTATTCTATGAGGTCGATATAATGCACATAAAGTAGCAAATAAGATTACATAAAACTAACAAATTTAAAGAAACACATATTTTACATCATATACGTGTGTGTGTGTGTGTTCAAATGTTTCAGCCGGTAAGTCACTTATGCTCACCAAAGCTGCATTTATTTGATAAAAAAATGCAGTGAAAACTGTAATATTGTGAAATATTATTACAATTTAAAATAAAAGTTTTCTATTTTAACATGTTTTAAACTGTCATTTATTCTTGTGATGGCAAAGGTAAATTTTCAGCGTCACATTATCCTTCAGAAATCATTCTAATATGCTGATTTTATGCCCAACATTTCTTACTATTATCAATCACTATTGAAAACAGTTGAGTTCCTTAATATTTGTATGCAAACTGTAATGCATCTTTTTTCAGGATTCTTCGATGAATAGCAAGATCTGAAAGAACAGCATTTATTTAAAATAGAAATCTTTTGTAACATTATAAATGTCTTTACTTTCACTTTTGATCAATTTAATGTGCCCTTGACTCCTTGAATAAAAGTATAAATTAATTTTTTTTTTAAATCTTACTGAACCCAAACTTTTAAAAAGTAATGCATATGCCAGCCTATTACGGTACATGTCAGCTGCCTTAATTAAGATGCATTGGCCAATATTACATATATCAGTATTATATTGGCTGCTGTGCTCTAGTTTTTAACACTAAAAACATGTTAACCGGCAATAATATTATGTAAAATATTTGAAAATGTGCACTGTTGACAAGGCTTTCAGTAAGTTTGACATTCGGCAGAAAGATCATCTTATTAATAAGCCAATGCTAATGATTTTTATTTCAAAATATTGACAGATGAATTGGCATTTTACTATATAATAGTATTTGTAACTACTGGTAAAATTAATTTTGATTGTTTACTGCAATGAGCAACCGTGTTAACATTGAGAACAGCTTTTAGAAAATATCATCTTCCTTCGGTGAATATTTTACAGATCTGCTTTGCATGTTAATTCATAAGCTAGGTTATATAGCCTATGTATAGAGCCACGCCACTGGTCATATTTGAAGGCGTGACAGGTAACATGATCCACATTATAAAACTGAGACGTATTGGGGTCACTGTTTTATCTTATGACAAAATCAGAAATTAAGGATTCAAGGGCCACAGAGTGTGGTGCTGTTCTTCACAATGTCAGTTTCAGTCAATAAACTCACATGCTGGTGGTGTGCTGCTGTCGGTTTCACTCAAACCACTTTTTTCAGACAGTCTATCTCTGTCTGAACTCTTTGTGGCCATCTAAATTGTGTGTTTTAGATAAACTCCGGGCATGTGTACGTGTAAACAAAGAAATCATTCATGTAGGCTACTGCACACTAATGTCAGGAGACTATTTTTAAATAGAAATGATGCTAAACTCCTCTATAGTTATTTTTATCAGTCATTGTTCTCTTTAAAACGTCACATTTACTCAAAATGACGAACTGCTTCAGTAATGTATTCGATCTTGCTAATTTTATCCCACTGAAAATGTCATGAAAGCATTTACCCCGGCCTGAAAGGAAGGAAATTCAAAAGGTTATTATTAGGGACATGAAGGTTGTTATCGGTCAAGTTTACTTTAACAAGTTCATTTAAACACATTTCTTTACCTCTAGTAAGTCGCTGGAAATGCTTGAGGAACGTCTTTAGGAACATGATAAATATTTTGGTTGGAGTGTTTTTTTAAGAACAGTTCTTAAGCAATGATGCTAAATAGTCTTTAAAATCAAATCAGCTTTGAAAACGTTTTTTAAAAAATTGGTCATTAAGGTCGTCAGACGTACTGGTTCTACCAAAAAGCAAAATTTGATGGCACCAGCATTACCAGTACCAGTAGTATGAGTACACGGTGAATAGATGTTTGACCGCTGTCTGAGCACCGGTTGTTTTACCAAGTAGAACTGTTCCTGGATCAACATCATTTCAATAAACCAATCAGATTTGAGGGATAGTGTTTTAGTTAATATCAAATTTAGGCTTACAACAAGGGTTAGGGGCTTATTTCCCTCTGATTTTAGGGATAATTATGGGTGTGTAGGGATTGGGATAGGGAATGTTTTTCAAAATCACAGTGACCCTGTGCATCAGGTTTTTATTTATAGCGTTTTCTTGTTTTTTTACAAGCGTTGAGCATTGTAGCCAATCACAATCATATCTGTTGAGCGTGTGAACAAGGTGGCCTATTAGTTATTCACAATCCAGTGAATAGTTAGTTACTTAGTTAGTTAGATTCACAATCTGTAACTCCACACCACTGTAAATGCAAGAGCAATTGTTTTGTTCAATAATGAATCCTTATAACCAACAAAATGAAAACGCAATGTAACTAAGAGATTCATTGTACAGTTTCTGGATTGACAACTGTATTTAAATGGGCGATTGGATCTAAACCGCGATGATTGACCATGATAACCAACGGACGAGACAAAACGGGACAAAATATTTTGAAGTTAGTTTTTAAATCAGCAGAAAATTGGTACCAATAATGTAAAATTTTACTAGTATTTTGTATCAGCTGAAATGTTTGTAATAGAGCCAGACCGATATATCGGTAGGCCGATATTAGGCATTATCGGTATCGGCAGTTATAATGGCTGATAAATGAATATTTTGTATCACATTTTGATAATGAATATTTTAACAAAATTCATGTCATATCATGTCCAGTTTTGCTGCTGTTAAATAAGCCGAGAATGAAGCGGAATTGGCTAGTAATTGTTACATTATGTTGTTACAGTGTAGTCCTTTTAACTTTTGACAATGTGACTGAAGTATTTCTTTAATAGCGCGTGACAGTTATAGCAATGAGACGTATCATCCCTCCTTGGCCTGTTATATTGAAAATGTATGTTTTACAATTTGTTGCGCGTTTCTGAAATAATAATTAAGAAAAAAAATCGGCCGATATATCGGAATATCTGATTTTAAAACCAATAAATATTTGTATCGGTATCGGACTTCAAAATCCTTTATCGGTCGGGCTCTAGTTTGTAATGTGCCAACCCTAGTTGTTATTGTGTTAATCAATGTGAATGTTCTCACATGCTAAGTCTGGACCCTTTTAAAGAATCTACTGGCCTTTTGTGATGAATATATGGGAACTGGAACTTTCAAGATGTTTTTTTTCTTTTTGTCTTGACTTTTTTTTTTTTTTTTTTGAGAAATAATCCTAGTACGTAAAGGTTTCATTAGTCATTAGCCCAAGGCTGGTTTCCTGAGGAACTACTTTAAGGAAGAAGGAGTGGGTTCACAAACCAATGCTGAGTTTGTTTATGAGCTGAGCTGTTTTCCATTTACAGTCTTTGGTGAGCGTCGTCCCTGTCTTCACTTCAGTGATATAAACATGAATATGTTTAACAAGGAAAAGAAAATCAATATGGTATCTTCTTTAGAATTATAACAGTACTTCCGTCTGAAATGAGGAAGTATCAGGTAATCATTGCAGTCATGTGAATGTCATGTTACACAACAGTTTGTTCCCGTTTCAAACTCAATGTTCAGCATGTTCAAGTTTTCAAGCACGAGACATAGGCATAGATTTGAGGTATGGACAGTTGGCATTAGGATAAGTTAAGAGACCCCATTATAATCCCTATCAATATTTCTGGTGATTTAAAGTTATATCAGAGAACACAAGCACCATATGTTTCTGCATTACGTATATATATTTTTGTCATAAAGTGAAAGTATTTATTTCCATTACTGGAGACACTGTCTTTGTTTATGCCACGGATAAATTTATTTTACTTATTTATTTTTTCCTATTGAGAATGTAAATGAACTATGCCAGAAGAGCCTTTTTTTTTTATTTCCCTCCACTTTTAATATAATCAAATCACTAATGGATTTCGTTCTGTGGTTGTGTATAAAGCTGGTCTGTCTGCTTTGTCTACATTAATTTTTGCATGGCGTAATGATGAAATACACCTCCCCATCACTGTCTTCCTCCATCTGTCACCTGGTTTATGAATAAGTGATGGTGGTAATAATAATAATAAGTGATGGGGACAGGTGGCATCTGCTATATGTGTCATTGTTGGTGGGATCATGTTCATATGCAAACAATAATTCATAATTTAATGGAGAGATCCTGGTGATCCTCAACCTTTTATTAGCTGAAAAACAATATAAACCTCCAGCTGCAAAAAAAACAGACTTCTTAAAAAAAACATCAGCAGTTCCCTACTTGAAATGTAAACCTCTGGGTTTCATTTCCATCAATTATGAAATGGCTTATTATACCAGTTTAAAGAGAGTATCTCAATGCTTAATGTAGATGACCAATTAAAACGTTTTGCTAAAGGGCTGATTTGCTTTCAAATCACAATTAAATGTTTAAAATAAAGGCAATTTTTGCTTTGTGTGGTCCAATGAGTTCTCTCAACACCAATGAGGTTTTGAATATCTAGACTTACAGTACAGTGCCGTTCAAAAAGTTTGGGGTTTATTTTGACTTCATTTTTTTCTAGTTAGGAAAAGATGGTAAATGGACTGCATTTTTATAGCGCTTTTCATAGACCCAATTTGAAAAGTGGTTCCACCTGACCACTTTGACAATTGGTCAGGGGGAACCGGGGATTGAACCACCAACCTTTCGGTTTGTAGACAATCTACATGAACCACCGAGCCACTGCCGCCCGGCGCATTGAAAGATGCATTCAATTAATCAGAAGTGGCAGTAAAGACATTAATAATGTTACAAAAAATGTACATTTAAAGGAGAACTCCGGCGCAAAATAAACATTTGGTCTAATAAAACATCGGTACCTAGTCAACCGTTCTCTGAGGTTTGTTTTCATGATAATCGAATGTAAAGAGTTTATACCACTAACAAGGCTCAAAATAGCCCCACACTACCACAGTAACATAATGAGGGTCACTACATGCAAAACGAAGCATTGAGAACTGTGTAAGTGTACAGACGGTTTAATAAGAAGATACTTTATAAAGACAGTTCACTTCGTGTATACAGACAGGAGCCACCTTAGAAAATAGTTTCGATAAGTCGATCCCCGAACGCCATTCATACCGTTCAGCGTGGTTCGACTTGTCGTGACTGTTTCCCAAAGATGGCTCCTGTCTCTATATTTGGCCAGACTCATCACAGAGTCTCACTCGTAGCCTAGACTTGTTGTTTAACCTCTTAACTGTCACACCCCCCCTTTTTTTTTAATAGACATGGAAATGCTCATTTCAAACTTAAATGGTTGTAATTCAAAAATGTTTTGGAATATAGACGTAAGATTGGTCTCGTTTTAAAGAAGACATTTGGCACATTTTTCCCGAAGTGAAATAAATTAAGAAAGTGAAACAGAAAAAAAAGTTATAGAAGTTTGAGTTTATAGAAATGTACAATGAAAAAAAATAATTATTCATATTTTATATAAAATATATATTTTCAAAACCTGGGCTACTCTAAAACTGCAGAAAAATCAAAGCCAAAAATCGGAATAAATTGTGTTTAAAATTTTAGGTTGATATCTCAAAAAATAAGCTTTCAGTGAGATTTTGTTTGGGCGCAGAACCAAACTTTTTCACTAGGGTTTCACTAAACTCCATTACAGCCCATATTAGGGCGCCTCCATTTCCATATGCGTTTTGAGTGATATGAACCATTATTTTCACAAATTTCACACAATTTATGAAGTAGAAATCCTATTCAGAAGTAGTATGGGAAGTTTGGCAGATGTTGATATGAATTCAACCTCTAGGAATCACATACAAAGAACACGCATGAACGTTATAGCTTATTGCCATAACACAAATGGTGAATCTATTTTGTTTTTTTGTTTTTTTCGTAATATTTAAAACAAACTTTTTTTCTAAAATAATTGAATGGATGCTATCTTTTGAACTCTTGGAATGAAATCAAACTGAGGTTTCTAACTTTTTTTCATGATTTTTCATGTTCATTGCTATTTCAAAATAAAGGTCTGAACACTTTTTATGAGTATGAAAATATTCTTGTTGCAAATTGATAAATTACGGCTCCTGTGTAAATTATTTTGAAAATCAGTCACCAAATATGGAAACTAGAGATTGTAAGCTTTCAAATGATATATTGTCAATATTACTTAAGGTCTTTTCTAAGATATTATTGTTTTAAAAATATAATGGCAAGCGTCCCACCTGTGGGACGGTGACAGTTAAGTGGTTTTAACCACTACTGCGCTGGTAAGTGTGGCCTCCTAGGGTAGCGAGGGGTAGCGTATTTCAGTGTTTTTACTGTATTTTTGGTCAAATATGCAGCCTTGGTGAGAGACTTCTTTCAAAAGCAGTAAAAAAAAGATGAACCGGCCCCAAACCATCGTAATATTTCACCCCTGTAACATGACCCACTTTTTCCATTTCTCCTGCAGTAACCGGGTGAGCGTGGAGGGGGCGACGCACAAGCAGGTAGTGGATCTGATCCGGGCCGGAGAGAGGGAGCTGGTGTTGACCGTGCTCTCTGTCCCGGCACAGGAAGGGGACGGACTCGATGCCGGAGAAGAAAGTGCCGTGCAGCCCAGTTACGACTACAGCGACAAGCAGGCCGTCCCCATTTCAGTCCCCACGTACAAACATGTGGAACAGCACTCCGAGAAGTTTGTGGTGAGTTGCGGAGAAAAGCATAAGCGCTTTTTTCTTTTTGGCTGTTTAGTGCTAATAATCTTTGTTTCCTCCTGTCTTAGGTGTATAACGTGTACATGTCGGGCAGGCAGATGTGCTCGAAGCGTTACCGGGAGTTCGCAATACTTCATCAGAACCTGAAGAGAGAGTTTTCCAGCTACACTTTCCCGAAACTGCCAGGGAAGTGGCCCTTCTCTCTGTCTGAACAACAGCTGGACGCTCGCAGGAGAGGATTGGAGGAATACATGGAGAGAGGTGAGAGATTAAAGGAGTAGTTCACTTTTAGAAAACTTTTGCTGATAATTTACTCAACCCCATGTCATCCAGGATGTCCACGTCTTTCTTTCTTCAGTCGAAAAGAAATTAAGGTTTTTGATGAAATATTCCAGGATTTTTCTCCTTATAATGAACTTTACTGGTTCAAATTACCGTTTCAGTGCAGCTTCAAAAGGCTTTAAACAACACCAGACGATGAATAAGGGTTTGATCTAGCGAAACGATCGATAATTTCAAAAATAAAGAAGTTTTATAAGCACAAATGCTCGCCTTGCTCTGTTCTGTGACGAGCGTTCGTGACTCTCCTGTTCGAACAAAATGAACGAATCTTTTTTCGAGTCATTTCGTTCAATGAATGAACCAAATGACTCGAAAAAAAAAGATTTGTTCATTTTGATGAACAAGTTCGAACAGGAGAGTCGAGCAAGGTGAGCATTTGAGCTTATAAAACTTAAACTTTTGTATTTATTTTTTAAATGAGCGATCGTTTCGCTAGATAAGACCCTTATTCATCGTCTGGAATCGTTTAAAGCCCTTTGAAGCTGCACTGAAGCGGTCATTTGGACCTTGAACCGTTTGAGTCCCAGTAAAGTGCATTATATGGAGAAAAATCCTGGAATGTTTTCATCAAAAACCTAAATCTCTTTTCGACTGAAGAAAGAAAGACGTGGACATCCTGGATGACATGGGGGTGAGTAAATTATCAGCAAAAGTTTTTTTTAAAGTGAACTACTCCTTTAAAGCCCGGTTTAACAGGCCTTAGTTCAGTTAGGATAACCAGATTCAGGACACACTCACTCTATAGAAAGTGCAAAAAGACGTTCTGCATCTTCTTGAGATAGGCTCTTTTAAAATTTCTGTTTTTTTCACGGTCCATTAAAAACTTGGCGCTTTGAAAATACAAGCTCTGAGGTGTTTTTCTTTCAGCGAGCCAAAAGAACACACACAAAAAAAAGTTCTTAAAAATATATATATTCTTCTTAAGAATTTTTTCAAGAATTGAATTTTCTTAACTTCTTTCTCAAGACGATTTACGCGAATCTGGCCCCTGATTTGAAAGTCCTGATTTTATTGTCTTATTTTTTTACTTCTATTACAGATGATTTATATTTGTTCAAGGATGTTTTTGTATTGTCATCTTTGCAGTAAGCCACCATTGGATGTGGTTTTGTACGGTTGCTCACAGATGCATGAGATATAAAACACACTTCTGCTGAGCTCTATATAAATATATATCCTGTCTCTCTCTCTGTCTCTCGACATCTTTCTCTTTTCAGTCTGCTCAGTGCGGATCATTGGTGAGAGTGACATTATGCAAGAATTCCTGTCTGAATCAAACGAGGTAAGCACGTGTGTGCAAAAATTGTAGATCTGTGTGGAAGTGGTTTTGCTCAAGGACTCTGTTTTAACATGCGCTTCGTGTTACAGAACCACAACAGCATAACAGATGTCGAGTTACGGATAGCGCTGCCTGATAAAACTACAGCTTCAGTGAGGGTCCGAAAGAATAGCACCACTGACCAGGTTTACCAGGTAAAATGTCATATGTTCATGCAACACATGACTATTTAAAGGGGTCATTAAATCTAATTTTACTTGATATTTTCAAACCTAAAAGGTTATATGTTATATTATATGTTTGTTCAGAGCATTTGACTGCAAATTGTTTTGTAAACGAGGTTTCTCTTGAAACTTTTAGCCAGCTGTATTGGATGGATCTGACAGAAACTGCATCACAAACTGTTAGCAATTTCATAATGCTCTGTCTGTAAATGACACTTTTACATGGACGATGTTTTCAAAACTCTCGATCGGGGAGAGTTGCCGCTTGTAGTCTGAGGTGGAATTGAAAACAGAGCCCTCAAAGTTGGACACTTTCACTTCCTGTAGTGACGCTTGCGTGGTGTTTACGAACTTAAACACTGACAAAGTCAATTAATACACAGACGTTTCAGATGTTTTCATGAAGCAACAGAAACGCTTTTCATGTACTGTTTAATACAGTGCCATCTGTACAAGAATAAAGTTTACATAAGCCTATACTACTTAAATACCATTAAATGGGGGCCAATATATATATTTATCAGTTTAACTTTGATAAACATCACAATATAACATTATAGTTTAGTTGCATGAAAAGCCAATCTTGAACTTATATTTTTTGATGCCATACTTCACAGTGACATGGCGTCTGCTGCGCTATCTCAAGTTGGACAAACTTTCTAACTGCAATGCACTGCTATAATTCAGACGACCCTCAGTTTTGTGCAACGCTGCTTGAAGTCGAAAACACCTACTAATTCTTATGCAGTGACGTTAGCCAATCATAACACTGGCTGTTTACTAGAGCCCGACCGATAAAGGATTTTGAAGGCCGATACCGATGCAAATATTTTGGGGTTTTAAAATCCGATATATCGGCCGATATTTTATTTATTTAATTATTTATTTTAAACTGGACATGATAGTCACAAATTTTGTCATGCTTATTTGAGTTAAGAGAACTGATGGGGATGTTCTTTTAATTGTTATTCAAGCAATGTATGTATCGTGCCCAACTCAACGAGTGTTGCCAACAGGAACGGTGTAGAGTGCCCTCTGGTGGACAAACTATACAACTCCAACACTCATGACATGGTTCAAGCGTGTTTCGTCCGTTTTTATTTTATTTTTGAAATATTCATTTATCTGCCATTATAACTGCCGATACCGATAGTTTGGAAAATGCCTAATATCGGCCGATAATATCGGTCTGCCGATATATCGGTCTGGCTCTACTGTTTACTGACGAGCTCGTTAAAAGAGCCTAAAAACAGATCATTTGGGTTTAAAATATTTCTTTTGGCATTTATTTATTTATTTATTTTGTGCAAATAGTTAACCTCCCAAGGATAATTTTTAAAATATAAAAATTTCATGTCATGACCCCTTTAAATACCAACTCAATGACCTCAACAACAGCTCATCCTAGTCATAAACAAGTATCATTTTCCCTGCTTCAGGCTCTTGTCATGAAAGTTGGGATGGACAGCATGATGGCCAGTTACTTTGCTCTCTTCGAAGTTATTAACCACTCATTTGGTGAGTAATGGCTCTATTTTCCTTCCCGTTACTGTGTTCTGAGTTGACCTCTAACAGGAAGGGAAGAAAGCATTTAGATATTCACTGACCTTGTTATGAAGTCAAAAGTAATTGCGCTTATGATTCATTTTAACAGTGATTAAACTGCGCTTCGTGATCTTTTCTTAATCAAACGAACAATGTTTTGCCCCAGCTGGCAAGCTCTGATAAGGTGCTACTGAGCTCATAAGGACTTTGGGCCTTGTTAATGAAATATAAATCCTTCGCAAAAGGATTGTTTGGTCACACTTTAGTTTGGGGAACACATGTACACTATTAACTATGACTTTTGCTTCCGTAAACTAATAATTTACTGTTATTCAATTGTTAGTTTCTGGTCCCATTGACATCCATAGTATATATTTTTTCCTACTATGGAAGTCAATGGGACCAGAAACTGTCTGGTTACTGACATTCTTCTAAATATCAGAAAATCGGCTCAATGGATTCGAAAATGGTAAAACTCAACTGTTTAACTCTGGGGGAGTTGTAAAATGAACCTATTTCCCAAAAAAAGTGGAGTGTCCCTTTAACCGTTTAATTCCATGCCGATCCGACCCAGTCGGTATGGGTTTGGTTTCACTGTGGGGTTGATAACAGAACTTTTTGGAAATCGAACTCGTTCAGCCTGGTGGTGAAAACCTTTTTTTTTTTTTTTAATCAAAATTCTTTGAATAAAAACAAAAGCATTTTTTTTAAATAGAAGGGTTTTTCTATTTCTTCAAATTTCTTTTATTTGTGTTACAAATAAACTTTGAACAGTAGTGTACCTAATGGCATATTTGCAGTGTATATTACAAAATTGAATTATTTTCCTCATATAGAGATATTAAAATTACCAAGAAACGCAAAAACTGTTTGCAATGTTTACTGAAAATCTCTCTCTTGTCCTCTTTTTCTGTTTTGTCACTTGCACTTATCTTCCTAAAGTCCGCAAATTGGCTCCTAATGAGTTTCCGCACAAGCTGTATGTTCAGAACTACACGTCAGCTGTCCCTGGGACGTGTCTCACGGTGCGCAAGTGGCTCTTCAGCACACAGGAAGAGGAACTGCTGCGGGACAACCCACTGGCCCTGCACTACTGCTTCCATCAGGTCGGTCCTGGTTATTGTCAAGTCTCTTATCGCAGAGATTAAGTCATTTATAGTGTCTCCAGATACTATAACATGGTCATTATGTCATCAATAAATATAAACACGTCGCACATTATGGGAAATGCAGACCATAAACCGCGCAAATGGACTTTGAACAGCTAGCAAGGTGTCAGGTTAATGCATCATCTAATACCACACATGCTTGCTTTGTTTTACTTTACATTTTTATTCAGCGTATTTATATAGATCTTAACAAAAGTTACAAAAGTGCTGAAAAGGGGCGGGGCTACATAAACTCTATAGCTAAAGTCATTAATGACTTGCTTTTAAACGGTTCTCATATACTCATATCAGAGTTGTTCATCTCTTACATTCTGTGTTTTGGTCTCTTTTCTTCAGGCACAGGATGATGTGAAGAAGGGATTCATTAAAGCAGAGGATAAAGCGTACCAGCTCCAGAAACTAGCAGAACAGAGAAAGATGACAACGGTCTCTCATACTTTATCCGTCATAGATCGCCAAACAGACTTTTTAATAGAATGCTTCATTTAAATGCTATTTATCTTTTCATTGAAACCCTGTCAATAACACGTCCAGGTCACTTGTCACCTTAAAAATCTAATTAAAAGAAATTATTTTAATGATAATAAAATCATGCACATTTTGGGGGGCATTTAAAAAAAATTATTGTACTGTAACATTTAGTTTTCAATACATTTCCATTACATTACAAATTCTTATAAGTGTAAGGCAAAAAAAAAAAATCATAAGACTAATGCAAAAATTAATATATGGCTCAAAGTGTTGTTATAGTATTATTTATATACTATTACAGTTTTCTATATTTGTATATCCTTCAGTTAAATTTAGTAATTCTTTTTTTCCCCTATTATTTTGGTTTTTAAATATTTACTAATAGTGATTTACTCATTTTAGCATTTTAACTTTTTTTCCCCCCCAAGGCAACATTTTTCATTTAAAGTTTTCTATGTGATATTTATATTTTATTTCAGCTTTGTTTCAATTAATGTTTCAAATTTTTTTATAACATTGGGTACTAAACATCAATTTTAATTTTGGAGTGAAATGTAACCTGGACACTTTTTTGTCGTTTTCTGGGATCTTTCTCTCGCAGTATCTGAGTCTTTTGCGCTCATGTGAGGGATATAACGAGCTGACTTTCCCTCACTGTCCATGTGACTCGCGGAGGAAAGGTCATGTGATCACGGCCATCAGCATGAAGCATTTCAAACTACACGCCTGCACTGAGGACGGCACTCTTGAGGTGAGAGAAAGATGCTCAGAGTGTACAGACATAACCTCCTAGAGGCGTAGAATTAGCCGTATGAGAACACGTTTGATTTGTAACACTTTATTTTTGACTCACAGAATCAGGTGATTGTGTTCGAATGGTCAGAGATGCAAAGATGGGACACAGATGAGGAGGGAATGGCCTTCTGCTTTGAATATGTGCGGGGAGAAAAGAAACCTCGTTGGGTCAAAATATTCACTCCTTATGTAAGTCACCCCAAAATGCTGAATTATGATTCTCAGATCATTTTGAACAGAAATGAGCCCTGGTTGAGTGTGTTTGCGTTCCCTTCTTTAGTTTAACTACATGCACGAGTGCTTTGAGAGGATTTTCTGTGAGCTCAAATGGAGGAAAGAGGTATTAATAACTTGCACACATTTCGATTTTAAAATTCTCTGCTTTTTTTTGGCATTTGTTAATGAGTTTCTCTCTGATATGTTAAAGGTTGAAGAGGAGGCCTCAGACAAAGGCAATAAGAACTGTAGTAATAATGGTAAGAGAACCTTTTGCCCTCATTTTATCACTTAATGGGATTTTTTTTTTTTCAATCGTACTCATGTGATGATCATACTCGTACAGAAACCTAAAATACAGGTTCATACTCGCCACACTTACATTTTAGCATGAGGACAAAGTCACATGTCATGCGTGTGATGCTCATTTCAGCCAACAGTGCATGAAATGAACCCTGAACCTCCTTGGATGATCAAGGAATGGAAATGTATTCCTTTATTATGTAAAACAAAATGCAGGAACCATTGATTCCAGTGCACTGTAGGCTAGAATAGATTGGAAATACTCCAGCAAATGTGCTTTTCATTATTGAACACTGTTTTATTCATTGAGCAAATAAAATATTTGCACATTTCAGTTTTTATAAAATATTAAATAAATAATTTATTGTTTGATATTCATTGATTTAAAAAAAATAATGTAAAAATTTATTTTATGATTTTAAAATTTAGGCTGTAATTATCATTTAAATGATAATGTTTAATATATCAAATAAATATACATGTGTTTGTGTGTGCGTGTTGAAATACTTTAAAATGAACCAAAAATCATGCACCTTTTATATATATATATATAATATATATATATATATATATATATATAAATATGCGTGTGTGTGTGTGTGTGTATATATATATATACACATATATATAAAAAGTTTTTTAGTGCTGTCAAATCAATTATTTGCGATTAATCGCATCTAACATAAAAGTTTGCGTATGCGTGTATATATACTGTACATACACATAAATTGTTTCACACTTTTATGTTAGATGTGATTAATCATGATTAATCGATTTGACCGCACTAGTCTTTAATTTTATACTGAACTTTACTAGATAAGGCGAGTAGAATTCATTGTCGTGAGCCCAAGTTTCCCCATTCTAGGCCATTGAAAATGACTGGTGTGTACCCTAACGGGAATGTAATTCTCCCCTTAAAAACACTAAATGTGATTTTAAATTTAGTGAACCTGTAAAAAAGAAAGCAGAATTTATAAATCAATTGGTATAGGGGATTTAAGATTTTTTTTAAAAGCTTTTCAAACCCTTTTAAATGTTTAGCAAATCGAATGAAACACTTCTGTATTGTAGATTACATCTCGCCGCTGGAGCAACAGAAGGGATGGCGCCACCTAGGGGGTGAGATTGCCACTTCCTAAAACCCCTCTCTAGACCCCTGTGGAATTATAAATTGCGCTGGATCATCACACATGAGCAGACCACCATAATGACCATGTTACCACGGCAACATCCCAGTGACACCATAACAACCATGTTTCCACGGAGACAAAAGTGTGCCTTTCAGATGCAGAGCTTTCCATGTGGCAACCACAGCAACGCAAAATGCCATTATCATGGTGAAGTAAAGGCTGCAGGGATGTTTCACCCCAGATCAAGAGCACCAATGGGTTCTGCTGTCATTTCATCTATAGATACTTTGAACTTGCTCAAGTACATGTAAAATACCACATAGGACGAGATCGAAAGATCTTCCACATCATTGGTTTAGGAGACAAGCTATTCTTTAAGTCTACTGGCTGGATTTTGGAGAGCATTAGCTAAGGTAGAGCTGAATCGGCACTGTAATCAGGGCAGCGTAGTAACAAATGACCACTTTGTGATTTGGAATGGCTGCCGCTATTACAGTTGTTTGACGAAACTATATATATGGGAGGGGGACGTCATGCCTTAACAAAACGAAATAAGAATTTGTGTAGCAAGGTCACCATACAAACAATTAGTGTGAGATCTCTAAAATAATATTGTGATGGCATTATTGCTTGATTTTCCCAGTATTGCTCACTAAAATGAGCTCTTATTAATTTTATTTCAATTAAATGAGGAGTAAACAAGTCTGTAGGAGCAGTGACATGAGAAGTGTGTGTGTGATTCTGTAATTAATGACAGGATTGTTTATGAACTGGCATTATAGGGATTGTTTAACCAAAAATGAACATTCTGTCACCATTTACTCACCCTTAAGTTGTTCCAAACCTAACAACAGTCGATGGACACCCCATTGATAAAATGAAAGTCAATGGGGCCCCACTATTTTTGCTTACTGACATTCTTTGAAATATCTTTGTGTGTGTGTGTTCAGCAGAAAAAAGACATTCATACAGGTTTGGAACAACTTTGGGGTGAGTAAATGATGAAAAGACCGAATGTTCATTTCTAAGGCAACTATCCCTTTAAGGTTAAGTGTAGTTCGCACAAGCGACCTGTAGGGGGCCTCAGCATCAAACACAGTAGCAGCTGCGCTCAAGATAGCGTTTATTTCTGTTCAGTTTATGTGTTGGCCTCTGAGGGAACATCATCGAGCGAGTCCTCGTCAGAGTTTGTTTTTGTGTTATTTATTGTTCGAGACTGCAGAGGTTTTCCTCACAGAGAGACAACAGCACCACGTCGGACCCGACTGAGAATACTGTGGTGTTTAGTCCTCTCATGTGTTTCCTAGAATACGAACTTAGAAAGCAAAAGGCAACTAATTAGTCTCAAACTCGTGTGCAAATTCCCCATAGTGTGCTAGAATTTTTTTTCAAGCTTTTTCTCTTGTTGTAACCTTCTTCTTTTAATGCATAGTAGAGAACTAGAGCTTAAAAAATGGTATAGCAAAAAAATATATACCATAAAGGACCTTGGTTGCCCCCCTCATCACAGGACAAGGCACAGCTTAACATTTTCTTAACAGACATGCATGTTTAATGCAAGTCAGAAGCTTTCACCATTCCATTCCAGCACAATACTGTGATAAATGAGCTTATCCTCATCCAAATGCTTTAGCCACCTTGGCTACGATACCTTGATCAATAAGTGAGTTTGTATAGTGTGTGTGTGCTACATCAGATTGCTCTCTGGTTAGAGTAAAGGTTCCTATCACGACGGCACGGTAGCATCTGTGGTCTAAGCGTATTTACAAAAACTTGATTTGTCTTCAGTCTTGATTATTTCCATATTTGATTAGTTAATACAGTTTAACAATGTGAATGAAAAAAAAAAGTTCGACTTGTGTGTTTTACAGTCGTGTAATTTTGTCCTTTCGTCAGGAGTGCAGCAGGTGCGACACTTTGTATTGTCTGGAAAATGTCAAAAGTGTTCCGCCTTGTAATGTTCACCAGCGCTATACTATTAATTGTTTGGTCAGTGTTTCTTATTTCGTGTCAATATGCCGGGAGGGAAGATTATGAATGTACCAGAATGTATTTATAACATGGATGATTATTTGTTTGTTTTGTGTCATTAACTTGAATTTCAACCATTAAATAGCCTATCATCATAACTCTTCAGTTTTAAAACTTAAGACACTAACATACTCGTATCCTTCCACTGAGTGTTTTCTTAACTTTTGACCCACCTTGAAAGTATTAATCATGTTTTGAGTGTTTTCCCCAAAATTGGTAGGCCTATGTTGGGATGAATACTGTCAAGTTTAACGGCTATTTGTTTGTGTTCTGTGCTTCATCTGTAAATCTTACTGCTTGTGTGTAGTACTGACAGAGTCTTTGTAGCTTTTCTGACTGAAAACGTTAATTTATTTTTCTGCTGAATCGAGGGGATTGAAACGAGGCCTGTGCTGTGGTGGGTTCAGGAAGGGGCTTTGTATGACAAAAGATATAATGCATACGTGAAGGAGATAAACAGGCGTGCATTATTTCATGTAGCCTAGATAATGGCATAAATTAACAATAACCGGATATACAATAGTTTTATATCTGAAATGTGTGAGGGTTAAACTAACCAGAGTTATAAAAAAAAAATTAAACTTTGAGAAACATCATGTAGGTTGAAACATTGTAACATACTATTTTAAATAAAATGACCTATTGGGAAAAAAAAAACATTATTTATTGTTTGATTTCTCTTAAATGTGCAGGCCTTTTTTGCAACATGACTGATATCACTTAGCAGGTTAACGTGGATGTCTCATAATGTGACGTTCCTAATGCATCCTAAGTAACCAATTGCATTACTGCATTAAAGGTACACTATATAGGCTAACTTTTTTTGTTTGTTTAAAAATCATATCAAATTGAGTCAATACTTCTTCCAAACGTGTGTTTGTCTTACACTAAGATAGTACAAGTCTATTTGATGTGATTTTTACATCTGGAAGACATATTTTTAAGAGTGTTTGCTCATCTGCAATACGTCTATAGGACGTTTCCTGTCAGATGTCTAATAGACGTTTAGAAGATGTCAGTTTAACATGCATTCTAGACAAACGTCCTATAGAAGTAATGCAGATGAGCAAACACTCTTAAAAATACGTCTTCCACATGTAAATATCACATCAAATAGACTTGTGCTATCTGGGAAGTGCATCGACGGGTGAGTTGAAACTCATTATAATATGCAAAACTGTTATCCACTCACAGCAGTGGGCGTTTACTTCCAAGTCTTCAGTGCGAGACGCCCATAAAAACCCAGCGTTTTTCAGGTTGGCTCAAAACTAGGTTACAAAATAGGCCATTACTTATTCATTTGGATGTTTTTGAATGCAAAAACCAAGCGAACATCATAAGTTGACCTCAGACAACAATATAATAAAATTTAAAAAGCCAGTTCATGTCCCTTTAATGAACCCCACAAAGAATAGTATATCGTTTTTAAACAGTACTCGGAGATGCAGTTCTTGGCATGTACTGTTATGCAGAACTCTGCAATTAACGTAGATTTCGCATTGGTTATAAATTATTGTTGACTCCCCAGCAAACACAGAACGTTCCCCTAACGTTCCCGAATGGTCTGATGAGGATATTTTTTTGGGAACCAAACAAGAACGTTATAGGAACGTTCCATGTAGGTTATTTTTAGGTTCCAATTTTATAACGTTAGGAGAATGTTCCGGGAACGTCAATATTAAACTGCCATTTTAGAGTAGGATCTGTTTGTTGTCAGGAAATTGGTAGCATCTATTACAGCGTGGACTCGGGTGATAACTCTCAGTAATAGTGAGACATTACCTGATCCCTGCGCTATTTCAGAACATGTCCAAGTGGCCAGCAATCGTATGCCCCGATAGGGCCTACCCTTATTTAAATTGACTATTTTCTATTTATACATTTTAGATTTTTTTTTTATTCCTGTCTCTGATCAAAGCTGAATTTTCAATATCATTAGTCCAGTCTTCAGTGTCACAAAATCCTACAGAAAACATTAATTATTATCAATGTTGATTTTTTTCCGGATTTTTTGATGAATAGAAGTTCAAAAGAACAGGATTTATTTGAAATATAATCCAAGTCATTTTATTGAACGCTGTGCTGGAATTTATTTTCAAGGAAGTAATGCGTCTAATATGTATCAGTAATGTATTCGGCTAGTTAGCTTGAGATTCTTTCCATCTAAACTGGTTATATCACTTAAGTCTAGTACATCCGCACAGTCCGCAGAGCCGAAGCACGACCAAAACAATGTTCTTACGCGAGAAGTATGCAGCTTCATTTTTTAACATCTAGAGGGACAAAAGGCCATTGCAGATGCTTAGTTTTGTGCTCAGTAATACATTTTATTTTTGGATCATTGTCCTGTGGGAAGATCCAAACATGACCCATTATAAGATTTCTATCAGAGGTTGTCATGTTTTGATTTTTTTTTTTTTTATTATTATTTTTTTTTTATCTGTTGGTATCTGAAGGTTGCAAAAAGTATTTAATAAAAGGGGGCAAATAATTGTTCCCAACGTGTTTTGGAGAAAAATACATTTAGGCCTATTTCATAATGTGATTTCCCCCCCCACTTTCAACTCTTTTAATTAAATAAAAGGTTAGATTTTTGTATTTCTTTTTTAAATAAAAGATCAAAAGGATAAATTATTTTTTTACAGCCATCTTTGATCAAATTTACCAAGGGGGCAAATAATTCTGACCAGTACTGTAGGTTGGCTTGAATATAATGAAAAAAAAGTTTACTATTATCATCTCGACAAAACTTGGAAGACTTAAAAACAGAAAAGGATCGTAAGGTATGTCAAACTGATTTGTTATTTAAAGGGATAGTGAAAATTATGTTATCACCCCCATGTCGTTCCGAAAATGTGAATAAAAGCCTAAGTAAAATGTGTTCAACGTATAAAGTGATCGTGTCTCTTCATTAATTTCGGACTAAATCGCTCGCTTCATATGGATTAGTATATGATCTTTGAACTATTTGAAACATCAAAAGTGGTAGTTGCAAAGCTGTCAATCAGATTTCATCAAAAATATCTTCATTTGTGTTCCGAAGATAAACGAAAGCCTTATGGGTTTGAAACGGCATGAAGATGAGTAATAAATGACCGAATTTTCATTTTTGGCTGATACGCTTCACACTGTACCCTCTCAAAGATGTTTTTTGAAATCAGATGGCCTGAGAATATTAGAATGTTTCAAGACAACCTGACCACCTTAGATGATTATTTAAAATAAATATGATGAAACCATAAAAGAAAGCAGAAATTATCCGGTATTCATAATAAGAATAAATCTCGTTCCTTTGATCCTGCTGTAGAATTGCCTCTGGAATTAAATAGTACCAACTTGAACCATATCTCTCATACGCAACCACTCGGGAAATAATTTGCCTCAAGCCAGCTAAATACTTAAATGAATTTCATTTATTTACTAACTCAAGGACTCCGGGGATTTCACAAGAGAATTAGCCACATATAAAGCACAAGCCTGCTGAATGACAAATTAAGCCGAGGCTTCAGCAAGCAGATTTAGTTTCAGTCATGAATTTCAGATTTGAGCTGATAAAGCACAGAAGAAGCTATGATTCACGAAATTAACTGGATATTTAACCCTGATACGTCAGTCATGAAGCAAGCCACCAAAAACAACTTTAAGATCTAAAATTAAATTCTAATTAAAAATATCATTCAACTATACTAGTACGGTCAAATTGAATTCTATGGTTTTATGTAAGAACATAAAAAAATCATCTGGTCCTTTTTGCTGTCTTAAAATTAGTTAAATTCACCCTCAGATGAAGAACAACACATAATACACTGTCATTATATATTTAACCAAAACTAGCACAAAATATAGAAGCATTTGGTGACAAAGTCACCCTTACTTGCATACTTAACATCAAGAGCAGTCATACACCGCTAATCAAATGTCTTCACCACTGATAACCTCTAAAAGCATAAGTGTTGTCAGTTTGCGGGTGTGTTAACACACTGCCAAGGAGAAAAAACATAAGCAATGACCTTAGAGAAGCAATTGTTGCTGTCCATCAATCTGAGAAGGGTTTAACGACCATTTCCAAACAATTTGAACACGGAAAATTATTCAAAAGTGGAAAACATTCAAGACAGTAGCAAATCTTCACAGCAGTGGACGTCCCAGGAAAATCACCCCAAGGTCAGAACGTGCAATGCTTAGAGAAGATATCATTGCCCTTCACAAACAAGGAACAGCATGTTCCTAAAGACACTGACAATGGAAGCATAGTTTGCAAGTTCAAAGTTAAAGGAACAGTGGTTACACTACCTGGATGGTGCAGAACAGGAAGCTACGAATGGCTGCAACCAGATTTCTGAGAAGGCAGGTTCAGATAATCTCTCGAGTGACTGGAAAAGACCTGCGGCAAGACTTGGTGGCAAGTGGTGTACTAAACGCATGCAGTTTCCAGGCCAGAACTCCAAGACATACACCAGGGGTGCCCAACCCTGTCCTACACAGTTTATCTCCAACCCTAATCAAACACACCTGAAGCAACCAATTAAGGTCTTCAGGGTCACTTGGAAATTAAAGGCAGGTGTGTTTGATTAAGGTTGGAGATGAACTGTGCAGGACAGTCGATTGGCAGGAGCAGGGTTGGGCACCCCGACGTACACCATTACTAACCCAAAAGCACATGACAAGTGCTCAAAATCATATAAATGAGCCACAGAAGTTTTGGGTAGTGATGGCAAAATGAGGCTTCCTGAACCACTGAGACCTCGCAGCCCATTGCTTCACTCAAAGGTTCATTACTCGAAGCTTCATTCAGTATTGCTCGCTAGTGACACCTAGCTACTGTGCAAAGAAATAGCAAACAAATTATTTAATTTTGAAGCGATGACCTGAGCAGACTTATGATGTCCCCTGTCCTGTTTTATTTTATTTTTTTCTTCTAACTGTTAATGTCTGTAACCTTTCATTTGCAATAATACAAATACCTGAGCAGACATTTGTCCATTGCCTGGGAATAAAATAAAATATGTATATTCTGTCTGAACTTACTTCTACAGAGACAACTCTCTCTCTCTCTCTCTCTCTCTCTCTCTCTCTTTCTCTCTCTCTCACACACACACACACACACACACACACAGAGTTAATTAATTATTTATAAATGATTTGGATAGTGACAGTATGAACAATAAAAGTTACACTGTTGAGTGCAGTGCTTATGGTGGAGGGAGTATTAAAGTAAAGTGCAACAGAAAAGTGTGGTGTGGTAAAGGTTATATTGTTTCTGGTGATTTTGTGTATTGAACTGTTACTATTTTTGTGCTGTGTTGTGCTTATGGGATTGGGGACGTAGAGGACCGAAGGAAGGATTAGAAATTATTTTTATTGAGGAACAGAATTTTTTCAAGTGTGTTCAGGCTTAGACATTAAATATTATACAGCCATATAGTGAGGATTATTAGCTATATCAAGACAGTAAAATAATAATAAGCTATTTCTTGCTGGCTCCATTACAAGAAAAAAGGATTAGGTCACAAAAAGCAAACAATTCCAAAAGGGCAATCCAAATCAAAAACCAGTCCA